TTAGAGACTTGATTAATATTTTCAAAAATATCAAATTTATACTAGCATAAGAAAGCGTAAAAAATACATTTTTTAATTAAGAAATTTTATTTGCAATTTACTTAAAGTTATTTGCTTTCATGGGGAAAAATTAATACGAAATTAAAAATTAATAGTTCTCAGCTATTAATTATCGAATTCCGCGTGTCTTCAGCATGGCAATTTTCGGATATCATCATTAGGCCACAACGTCACTTGACAATTATTCGAAATAAATCTGTAATGAAGACAATAATAAAACTGTAATCATAAATATCTCGAAAACTATCGAATAGTTGCGCTTATAATGATATATTTTCTTGAACTACATGACGAAATCTACAAACCTGAACAGTTTCAATTAAATGGATGACCCGAAGTACTTGCACTATCCTTGTCAGCTGCGTTTCTGCTTAAATTTCAACCATTTTCCTTCTTTTTGTACTTTATTTCGCGAATATTCTCTCAGCGTTCACGAAGATTTTTCGTTGACTCGCGATAATTTTCAATGCCGAATTCGGAACCGCAAACCTCGAAATTTTGATAAATTTTGACCGATGATCAACGCGAAGATCGCGGAATTCTTAAGAATAATCGGAATCGAAAATTCTTCGACAACGATCGACATATCTCGAACAGTGCTTTAGCTGTTTCACGACAGATAAGATAATTGTTATTGCTCGATTATACATATATTATAAAATCGTTTAATGGACAAGGAATAAAGCTATGACTCCATAGTGGTAAAGAAACGGATTTTCTGTGATATCGATAAGTGAGAGGAATATCTGGCATTATGTTTGAAATTAATCATGCAATATTCTCTAATTAGGAAAATTTTTCAAGAGCTAATATATCGACGAAATTTACAGAAAATATAATTTTTGGAATATTATTTTCCCTATCTTTACCTTATTTGCAATCGTCCATATCTAGAACCTGAAAATAACTAGACATACTCTGATTATATTTTTAAACAAATTGGTATATTTTGAGAAACTAATTAAATATTCCAATTTATCAAACAAAATAATTGTATAATTTTTCTACGATATCGAGTAAAATATTTCTTTCACCCCAATCTTATAAATTGTAAATAAAATAAATATTTCATTAAAAGTCGTGTAACTATAATTTTTCTACGTTATAGAGTAAAATATTTCTTCCAACCCCAATTTTATAAATTGCAAATAAAATAAATATTTTGTTAGAAATTCCGTAAATTTGCTCGAGATCGGTTGTCAGCATGCAAGAAACGATCGTTGTAAGTATGTTTCAGATAGAAGAAACGAGTGACATTTGTTCAAGTGTTTATTGGTTAGCGATATTCACGCCTCCTTTGTGCGACAGATTTCAATACGTTCGTTTGATTGTTGTAACGCTGATAAAATGATTTCACTTACTTCAATTTCAACGATAACTAGGTTTACAGTTAGAGTGGAACAAGCTTCCAATTGCTGCACGTGAGAATCAATGAGAGTATTCACATTTCCCTTACAACGTCTCAATACTTTGGAGAAGGCAGGCTCTCCTCGTTCAATTTTCGAGTCGACGAACGAAAATTCGATTAAATTTACCATTGTGGATGCCCGATGACAAAAGTCACGCATGTATCATCGATGGCACTTCTATTTGATAAAACTTCGCTCGAAAAGCGTTCAATTCTAGATTGCAGATGTACAAACAACAACGTTACATCGGCGTAATAGTCGCTAGAAAATGATATTAACCCCAGAATATCGAATGCGATCGTTTCGTTTAATATCCGCATTTATTGTTATTCCTGATAATTATAAACGTCCATATATCCACAATACTCCTTACATTGTTAAAAATTACTTATCTCCAACCTAGAAATATAATCTAAAAATGACAAATGGGACAAAAACAATAAAAATAAATAACATAAGGAAAGACACTGAAATTACATTAATATTCTAGGGTTAATCGAAGATGCCAGCTGCTCGTAAAAATCTCGAAATTTTGATTCACGATTATCACATACGAAATAAACACATAACCGAATTTCATGAAAACGAGGTCGAAAAATGGGTCGGTTGACGATCTTCGAGAAGCGACATCTTCAATTGCACGTGACTCGTAAAACCTGCCTAAAAATCATCTCATCGTGATTCTCATACACAGACATCCTTCGCATTCTCGTGTGAACAACGCTATAAAATATATGGAAGTAAAATGTATAGAAATCAATAAGCATCGTCTAATTACTTCATTCTCGGGGACTAAATTCTAGTTATTGTATCTCGTTCGAGGAAGACGCGTGTCACCCTATCAACTCGTTACTCTAATCGCGAATGGTACTCGTACACGTCGTTTATTATTCCCATGGAAACGTCGAGGACATCGAATCGCGAACGGTCGACGACGAATTTTGTTAAAACGCAGGTCTGACCTGGACAATAGAATAATTATTCTAATTAATCACTCGTCGATCTTCTACGTACATAGCACATTCTCCGCTGTGGCTATTAACCCTTTGCACTCTGTGTCGTCGTTACGGCGCTATTTCAACCACTTGCGTTGGCAAGAAATTCACAGACACGTGTTTCTGTGACAATTGCCTAGCGACGTGTGTACCACGTCGTTGGCGATTCTGCGACAAAAGCATTACGACGTGCGTGACACGTCTTTCCAGCGCAAGTGGTTAAGAGAGCCTGTAACTCCGTTGCCGCTGTTGCGACATCGGAATCCAGAATTCCGTTGGATTTATATCAAACATGGTTAGATAAAATTCCCGAAACACAGGGTTACCGTATGTTTACTGATAGATATTATACTAGTTATATTATATTATATATAATTAGTAATAATAATTATATAATTATATTATATTGGTGTGCCTCTGGCAGAAGAACTGATGAAAATGAAATACTACTTGACTGGTAAACGTTGTACTATGAAAGCTAAAATGATTCGGAGTTGCTGATAGGTGATATTAAAAATTGCTCGGAGTGCAAAGGGTTAAAGTGGTTTCAAAAGTCCAGGTCGTCCTTTCCCTCACCGGCTTCGAGGAGCGATTCACGCTGTCTCCTTGTTTCACCGTTTACCTATAAAATTATCAAAACGACATGCAATTACCTCGAGGTGTTTCCTATCGATGCGGACGAAAGCTCCGATTCGGAAAGAAAGCGACGTCGATCGTGCTTAATAAGATCAATTGCGCTTCGTTACGCTGGACAGTGGATACTTGCGAAAGAAAAGTCGAGGTTCGTATACGTATTATATACAGTAACATCAGATATAACAATTAGGATGATTCGCGAGGCACAACTGTAGGCGATACATATGAGAAAATCAACGATCGTTAAATCGGCAACCATAAACATCCTCTGTGCTCGGAGCAAACTTTCTATTAGAGAAAACATTGACCGTTTTAACAATCTTCTGTACAATATGCACGTAGCGTGGCTGTCATACATTCGCGTGTCACGCACGGCGCAGTTTCTTCATTTTCTTCGGTTTTAGTAACGATTAAGTACGCAGGGCCGTGACATTGTGCTTCTAATGTGCGCTTTCGCGATCAGACGATTCGAGTTTCCTTCGTCGTTGTTTTCGAAAAACCGTTCGATGTCTCTGGTGTCAAAATTGGGCAGCTTCGAGGACGCATTTCGGAAAGTAAGAAATTTTGAAGCAGTCTCGATTTAAAAATGAAAGAAATTGAACTTCGATTTTAGCGAAATATTTGAATAAGTAAAAGCGTAATTTTGAGATTTGGAAATTTTATGTTTAAAGTGGAATTTTATTCGAATAATTGCTGCTCGAAATGTTGAAAGCTTCGAAATTTTGTCATTTTCGATCTTTCGAATTTGTAAATTTGTGAAATTCTAATATTTTGTAGCCTCGGTTGAGAAATGATTCAATCGTCTTCTGATTGTCGAATTTTATTCGTTGCTCGGATGAAATTTGGACTTGAGATCAATTTGGACGATATCGATCGTACCACGACGTGTCACGCAACTTTTCCGAAGTAATTTCGGAGAAGTATGGTTGAGAAAAATCGAAACGTGTCGGTTGGTTGTTGAACGTTGTCACGGCCCTTCGATATTCTCCATCGCGATGGTTTATCGAATACGAGTCCTGCTAGATTACAATAATGGCAACGGTAATTCGCACGATTAATATCAAAATTATTTGATGTCTACGCTCTATGCTTAACCTTACTTCCGATTAACCAGTTACTCATCTAGGATGCGCAGTCAATAGAATATTAATTTTAATATTGTATTCGTAATTCGCATTTATCCAGCACTCGTTTCAGCATGCTCCCAACGAAGGTTTCCAAGGAAGACAATTATAACAAAGGATGCAATCATGACTAACATTGAAAATAACCAGAATCCCTCAAACCAACTATGTTTCATTTAAACAAAGATTGCACGTGTACGTACGAATGTTAAAAAATTATTACGATTAAATTTCAATTCTGTACGACAAATTATACAACACTCGACGAAAAGTACAATTTAACGCGACAGAATAAATAAAATAAATAAATTTTATTTAATTTTTGATCAAATAAATTGGAAATTGACTTTCAAGAACTTGGTTAATTAATAAATAATCATATAAGGAGTGCAGTTGAGCTTCGTTTCTTGACATATTCACGAGTGCGACTTTTAAAACATCGTTAGTCGTTCGTCCAAAACGAAGAAACGATCGATCGTTATGAAAGATCGATGAGCGTGCCGTTTCGACTTTCACGATATTATCACCCTCTTATAAAATCTTCCTTTTCTCTCGTTACAATCAAACAACGAATGATTTTAAAACATAGAGAAAATAATTCTGAAGTATTGAGCAACTTTAAAAGAATGTTGATATATCTGAGAAAAACATACGCTCGAGAACAAAGGATTATCGACACGAAAAATTTCACGATACGGTTCGAAATTCGTTTAACCTGCTGCTCAATCCGATCCAGATTAGACGTACTTCTACGCAAAGAAGAGAATCGAGGGCGACGAGAGACGCGAGTGAAAAAGAAATAAGCGCAACGATAGCACGCCTTTTTGTATTTCCAATTATTTTCCACGGTAGATCTCTATGATACGGTCCTGGTCCACGTACTCGAAAATGTGAGGCGCGTCCATCAGGATCCCGATGGTACCCGCGGATGTCACGAGGAAGAAAATGTAAAGCTGCAGTCGATCGATCACCATCGCCACGTACTTCCAATCTTCTCTTGTCTGAAAGTAACGGAGAAATTTAAACGATATTAATCATATCAAAATTACGATGGGTTACTATAGAATACCATATACTGAGTCATTCGACGTTTCCTGATTATTTCCAATTTTTACACCTAAGATCTTGCGAATAGAGCTCCAGTTCTCGTACCTAGAGCTTTATCCTACCAGAAGGTTAGAAAGATTCTAACGTCTGAACAGTGGTCTGTGAAAAATTGAGAAACAAGGGAACACCGAGTCAATCGAGTCTCCAAACGCGAACGATAGTTGAAAAATTGTACCAATCGAAAGAGATTAACACAATATTGACTATTATTAAATTTTATTCAGAATTTATCTCATATCACCGGCCATTATTTTGTAATTAGAAGCGGAAGTGAAACAATATAAATAAACTGCAATAAATTTTATTTAATATTTAACTTTTAATATTTCTTTCTGGTATGATAAACGGTGTAGCAACCATCTACGTGTAATGGTGTATGGCATGTTTTGCAAGTATATCTCTTAGACAGCGCACTGACCCAACGATGTTGATTCGCATCAAAAGCGCATCACGAGTGTATTCAATCTAATTTGTACTCAATGTGATTTGCACAATGTATTAAGCAAGGTACAGTCCTACCTGTATGTACAAATCTTCGTTTCTCAAGTGTTCAGCGATGAACTCGACAGCTTCCGTAGCCTTGCTAGCTTCGGGGCTAAGCAACACGGAGTCAGAGCTTTCGGATCCCCTTCTGTCAGCCAATCCATCGCCACCAGTGGCACTGGAAGTGCTAGTGGTGTGATGTACCTTCCTGTTGATCTTGCAATTCGGATGATGAAGATCGGACAGCTCCATCACCTCCATCTTTGACTTGGTCAACGAGGATGGCAGGTGTTTGGGTAACTCGGTCGGGCTTCCTGAATAGGTAGAAGTCGGCAACGTGACGTTTGGGATCTCCATCATCCACCTAAGACGTGTCTTCTTCGGTCTCTTCATGAACAGGATCGCTGGCAGGTACTTCAAGAATATTTTCCTGATCAGCTGAGGCATCCTGTGCGTCCTGGGCCCACGGAAGTTCCAATTGATGATGATCACGGTGACCAGGATGCTGACCGTGTTCATGATGAAGGTGAACAGGAGGTACTTGGCGATCAGTGGAAGCACCAGAGACGTCGGTGGCAGAATCTTACTGACCAGCAACAGGAACACGACCAGTGAAAGCAGGATACTGATTCCCAGCGTCACCTTCTCGCCAGCCTCTGCTGGCAGATAGAACACCAATACGCAGAGGAAAGAGATCAAAACAGTAGGAAGGATCAGGTTCACCGTGTAGAACAGAGTCTTGCGTCTGATGATGATGTAGAAGGTAATGTCCGTTTCCGTTGGGATCGCGTGATAGGTATTCAGATAGGCTGGCACGCTGATGATGTCCCAGGTTCCGCTTTTCCAGTAATCAGACAAGTCCACAAAATTTTTGTTATTGTACAAGGCTAGCGAGACTTGGTCGCCGTTGAAGGTCCAGGATCCAAACTTCATGATGCAGGTCTGCTGGTCGAATGGGAAATACGTTACGTCGATGGTGCAGGAACTCTGGTAAATAGCCGGAGGAACCCAGAGGACGTCACCGTTGGGGTAGATCAGGACGTTGCTCTTGTAACGCACCTCGTAGTTGCCATCGGCGCTGGAAATTTGGAAAATCAGTGGTTCCGGGTTTAAATTCGACAATGGGATATGTTAAATAACTTTTCCACGACGTAATTTATAGAATCGATAAATTGATGACCGAATTGACAAGACGAAGAGAGATGATAGAGTCATGGGCAGATAGTTCTGAATTTATAAACGAAATTCGTGCGATATTCACTTTGGCAAGGCGTTTGCTACGTACTTATTGAACAGTACAATGTCTGGCTTCCACACTTTGTCGGGTGGTAACCTGAGAACTCCGATACCTCCATAGTCAGCTGCGTCCCATTGCAGTTGATAATCCGTCCAAGTGAATCTCAACCACACGTTCGACTTCATAATTTGGTTCTTCTCGTTCTGAAAGATATTTTCCTCTGCATCTGTGTCTTTTCATCTCTTTGTAATCGCAAACAGTGTCACGAAATTGTTAAAACGTATAGAGTAAACGAATAAGACTGTCATTATCGATGAGCAACGTATAATACAATATACAGAGAATAACGCACAAAATGAGAATAAAAAGAGAAACAAAAATTCTAAGACTCACGGAAAATAATAAATAAAATAAAATAACAATTGCGATATCTGACTGGTAGAGCTTCTACCTGCAACAGCTTCCATTTCGAGGGAAATTAAACATCAAACGGGGGAAATTAAACATGAAAGACTCTCACCACGTTAATTAGCTGCACGAAAGCGAGACCAAAATTCACGTCCACCTTCTCCGTCATGTTCTGCACGGGTCTGATGAGTTTGTTGTACCCCCTGAACAGATCTCGCACCAACCTCTCCTCATCTTCGGAGCAGCGACCTGAGAAACGAGGACGATTAACACGGAACACTCACTTTAGGCTGAGGCAAATAACAAAACTGATCATCACACAGGATGAATGACTCTTACCGACGCAAAGAATCGCGGAAATGAGGAGAAAACGCGCGAAACGCAAACAAAAATGCATTTTTGGATAGGTTTCAGGTGTCCCACCCGTAGACATCCGTAGATACTACACAGCCACCGTCACGGATCAATATGAGTACGCAGACGCTGGCCAATAAGTGCATTTCCTCGTTTGCCGTCCGATCCACTGGCGCCTACCCTCTTCCATGCTCGGGAAATTAATCGGTAAACCTTTCTCACCGGTTGCTGTCACGTTCGTGCACTCTGTTCCTTCTTCCTCGACTCGATCTGCCTAGGATCCGCTCGTCGAAACGATGTCGCGACGGAGCGAGTCGATGTTCGGGGTTGGAACGAGCGACTGGGGTGCGACGCGTTCGAGGTTTAGGGGTTGATGGGCAGGGTTGCTCACGAGCGACACGCTTCACAGATGCGCAGTCTAGGTGCTCTCTGCGCGATTCTCGGCTCTGTTTTATCGAGAGATACACTGAGAGATACTGGACAAGTCGAGACAATGGCGCGAAAATAAGAATGGGGGTGGAATTTCTCTCGGGTTACGAGATTTTTCGATATTTCCGTTGCCTCGTTTTAATTCGCATTTTTCGCGAATTTTTGTTTCAAATAGGTTCCTACAATGTGGGTATGGGAATACTTATTTTCTGTTTTTCTTTTCTTGTATTTTCTTCTTCTTATTTCCTTGAGTATACATAACGAGGTGTATTGCAATCTAAATTACAAAATATTGTAATTTAGAGGGGTAAATGTAATCTATAGAAAGATTCAATTTATGTCACTTAAAATTGAATTTTAATTACGATTAGATTTTTCTTGATTTCTGAGTTGAATATTTTATTTAGGATCGTGAAGGCTTATAGAAAGTTGTCTAGTTACAATTCTAATTTGTGTACAACAATTAACGATGATTTCTACTGACAGAGAGATTTAGGGGATTTTTAATAAGATCAATAGTGTAAATTTTAATGAATTTAAATTTTTAATTAATGTAAATGTGTAAATATTATTTTGGTCCCAGTTAATTGCATCTTAGAGATTGATTATAATATTAAAATATTTATTTTTTGATAAATTGTTCGAAATGTTACCTTCGGAGCTGGAAATTATTATCGACGCATGCGAGTGCAGAATAAGCTGCTGGGTTGTAGTGAACTCTATGTTCGCGTTGCGAAAAAATTCGCAATGCAAATTTCCACCGAATTTAAATCTCGGATGAATCCTTGAATGAAGAATTTCTTGCATTTTTAAAAATATCTACAGACATCTTGAATACATATACAAAGAATCAAATGCAACACGTATAATATTTTTAATCCACAAATTATTTGCAGGTCTTTTAATACATTCTAAGCAAAGAAAATTTACCAATGAGTTCGTCTATAGACATAAGAGAAGAAAAGGATTGTACTTTAATTTCCTTATCTATTCAGCTTTCAGTTTATCCTGATTTTAAACTATACTATCAATGTATATTCATCATCAATTAATTTCTCGATCTTAATGACGGCCAAACAAGAACTTCGAAAACGTGGTTTCAAAATCATGGTTGCCTAAGATATTCAGAGCCCAGATATCGAGAAGCAAAGTACAACCTTCGGTCCATAAATTCGAAATAAGCATAATGAATTCCAGGTTAGAAACTTTGAGGTCCAAACCTGAGGCCATTAGATATCCGATAGAGACCCATGGGTCCAAGGTTCAACAATGTTTCTATCGTATAACAAGCTGGTAACTATTCGCAAGCTACTCGTGCAATTGCTAGATAGCTAATTTTCACAGTTCAAACATCAAACACATAGATCCTAGATGAATGGCCTTAAAGTTTAAGTCAAACGCAGCAATCCTGAACTATGACTGGGACCCGGGGTATTTGTATTTCGGATTTATCCTCTAACAGATCGACTTGTTTTCCAGCCATTAATCCACCATTGAATAGATAATGCTATGATAAATTCCGTCCAATCGCTCTTCGTCCAAAAGCGGTCTTCATTCACAACTTCCCCCCACATCCGTTCTCCCTTTTGAACTGTGCAAGCTCTCGAACTAATTACCGTGAAATTTCCGGCACTGCTCGTTTAATGTGGACCCAGAATCGACAGAGTTGCCAAGCTGCGTGGCCGAAACGCTGCCAGAGATACAATTATGGGTTATTTCGAAACAACTCGTCCTCTGGTAACAGATAGAGATTGAACGTGGAAGGAAGGAAACGAGTTCGTGCAATCAGAAAACCGTGATCCCGATGAAGGATAAGATAAGCAAACGCTCTCTTTAGGACGATTGCTTCGTTTATAAAGAAAAGGATAAAGAAAGATACATTCCAGCTGATTCTATTTCGTTACACGGCTATGAAGATTGCATACGTTTATATGTACATTGAAGCATTTGAACGTATAGATACTGTCCTTAAATTGAAACATTTGAAACGACAATGGTGTACATAATTAAAAAGAAGTCTGGAGATTGTAAGAGAAATATTATAAAATAATCATATAAGTTTCGATATTGTATTCGTTTATCTGTTGTCCCTTATGACAGAGGATCTTCACTGGGCTCACTAGCGCCACCACAACCCGTATCTCCGATGAACGTATTATAAATATGTATCGTTGAATTATTTTTTAACTTTGCAGGCACAGTGTGGATATTTTCTTCCTACTATATGTACCATATGGGTTCAAAAATTCCTCTGTAACAGAGATTAAAGCGAATAACTCCATTTTTAATTCTTTTTAAATTTTTATCGAAGAACTTGATCAATGCCCAATTTCTCATAGCTCAAAAATAAATTTTTATTCTTTAGTTTGGGAAGTTAATACACATCTGGTGTTTCTGGTGACATGTCAATCGAGGAAGAATTCGCTATTTTAGGACCTCCAATATCGTTAAAATGTGGAATTCTCTACAAGATACAACGAACCTAACCTTACTTCAATTTCTTTTGGTTTCTCCCTCCTGGGGCAGGGGCATGGATAGTCCGAAGACGACGAAGATATTGAAGCACACTTAGTTGCTCATTCGAAAGATCGACTCCTGCATTTCAGACATTTCGCACTAAACCCATCACGGTCTAATTTCAGTTAAACGAAAAAGCAGTAGAATCTTTAAAAATTGGAACAAAGGGAGACATTGAAGGATCGATCACTCGTATATTGGAAGAATAATCACGAAGCCAGGTGTCAAGTGACAGAATTTTGAACGAAAATTTAAAAATCGGTCATCTAAGTCACGGTAAATTTAGTATCAATGAATTTTAAAAGGCAATCAATATTTACTACACAATAAAGTTCTATCGCAATACTAATCAATTCGATATAAAAAGGAATTATATACCAAGTAATTTTTAAATGCAATATATTTTCAACTTACAACGAAAAATTTTCTCAAACTTTTTAGAAATGACGAAAAGAAACGTTCCTCCACGCTGCCAAGAGTCAGCAAAAACGAAATCGAAGATACGTAACCTCGTATTCCGCAAACTGCGCAAAATTCCGCAAATACACGTGGATTGCTCGAATTTCTCTTACCTCCCTTCAACCGCGGATTTACACTACGAACGGCCCGATAAACCGATCTGAAAGCGACCACGACAAATCACAGCCGATTGCTCGGAACGGTTCGAAGCTCGTTGCGCAATTACATTCAACGTACGTCCACGTGTACGTGCATGCACACTCTCGTATACGTACCTCGCGTGTACACCTTTCCGTGGACCACCGAGAAGGCACACGAGCGAGTGGACGGCCGTGCGTAGATAGGGAAAAATCGCGGGATCTAGGATTCCGGGCGAGCAATAACCATGCGATCCGTGGATCGCTGTAGACACCAGGCCGATGCTAGAAATCGGCAATCTGCCGCGGTCGACCGCGATATACCGTAACGTTGCACTGGAATCCCCGGTGCATTCGGCCAGGATTATTGTTGCGTCAAACGACGCGAGTGCAGCGCGTATCGTCGCGACTGCGAAGGAGGAGAAAGAGCGAGAGGAGAGAAAGTAGTGAAAAAAAAAACGAGGAGAAAGAAGAGAAAGAGGGAAAAGGAAAGCTCGCGCAGTGGCGTACACGGGTGTCGCGTGTGTGCCGCAACCGAATTATTAAAAACGCGACGGAGTAGGCCTGCATTTTCCTTTGTCACGGCCCTTTCATCCTATTTTTATATTTGAACAATCAGCCAGTGAGTTCGACGTCACATCGACCGGGAAAAGTGCTACAGCCATCATACTGGCTATGAATTTTCTTCAACCCCGATGGTGAAGAACACTGGTTTCGTTTGTCAATCGACGACAATAGTTGACGCGATATTAGATTGCTTTCTTCGTTCACTTTTTTCGCCTTTGTACCTTCAGCTAGGCTTTTGTGACGCTAAACATTGTTGCTCGGTGAGTCGCGAATTTGTATTCGCGATTGCTCGATTCGGAATTATTCCTAATTAATGCCAAACGTACCCCAACCCGTCATATGACCGATTGATGGAAAAAGGAACGAAGAAGAATTTTAAAAATGATGAACTAAGAGGAAATATTGGTAAATTTATTATACGTTTTCTAAAGAACACATCACAAAGGCAAGTATCCAAAGCGATGACACTAAATACGGAATTTTGAATGAGAAATTTGAATACTAGAGATTGGTGGATTCGGAATTATTCCTAATTAATGCCAAACGTATCACGACCCGTCAGATGACCGATTGATGGAAAAAGAAATGAAGAAGAATTTTAATAATGATAGACAAAGAGAAAGTATAGGGAAATTTATTATACATATTCTAAAGAACATATCTCAAAGACAAGTGTCCAAAGCGATGACACTGAATGTGAAATTTCGAATGAGAAGTTTGAATATTTATGATTGCTGGATTCGGAATTATTCCTAATTAATGTCAAAAGTACCACGATTTATCAATTGACCGTATGGATGGAAAAAGGAACGAAAGAGAATCTTAAAAAAGATGGAATAAGAGAAAATATTTCAAAAATTTGTTAGATATATATTTTAGAGAACAAATCACGCAGGCAAGTAACCAAGACAGTGACAGTGAATGAGGAATTTCGAATGAGAAATTTGAATATTGATTGCTGGATTCGGAATTATTCCTAATTAATACCAATCACATCACGAAGAAGAATCTTAAAAGGGATGAAATAATAATGGAATGGAATAATGGTAATGGAATAATAATAAAATTTATTATACGTATTCCAGAGAACATATCACGCAGGCAAGAGGCCAAAGCGATGTCACTGAATACGGAATTTCGAACGAGAAGTTTGAAAATTGTCATTTAAGCTGTGATAAATTTAGTGTTAAGGAATATTGATATACTCGGAATGCTGAATAACATTTTTGGGAAATATCAAACGATGTTTGGT